TATATATATATACACATATATATATATTTGGAGGTAGAAATAATTACAAAAATACTGACATTTCTAAAACATTAGCGTATTTGTTACAAATAATCACCAACTAATCCCCATTCAGAAAACTGCTTTGTAAAATGAGTATTCAACATCTTCAGGACAACTTTTTTTTTTTTTAAATTTCATGCGTGAACATCCAGAGAATTCAGTTAGTGGCAAAAATGTTGTCCATGCTATGAGAAATGCAGTATGGAAACTATAAAAAGTTATAAATGTTCATAAACCCACGGTCATCATAACGTAAATGGCCTTGAGTGCCCCACGTTGATATTTCCTCACTAAGTAGGAATTCATAATTCTTATTTCCCAGGGGCACGGATGCCTTCAGTAACGTGGCTATACCTGCTGGCATATCCCCTCATCACCTGCGTCTGCTGTGGTCAGATCTTGTTCTAGTTCTGTTTCTGTTGGTTAATTTTTAGCATAGATTCTTCAATAGTCCCTTGGCTTATTAATTTTATAACTAGCACTCCTTTCGTCTGCCCTACTCGGTGGCATCCATCTTCTGCTTGTTTATCACTGTAAGGATTACAGTCAATATCATGAAGTATAGCAACATTTGCTGAGGTCAGATTGATCCCCGGTCCACCAGCTTTAGTTGATAGCAGAAATACAAAGATATCCATATTGGTATTAAACTCATCAATTAGATGAATCCTTTCAGAAATCTGAGTCTTTCCATCTAATCTGAGGTACCTATGCTGATGATGTATTAAGTGTACCTCTAAAACAGGCGTCCTCAAACAACGGCCCATGGGCCACATGTAGCCCACCTAGGACATTTATCCGGCCCGTTGGGTGTTTTTGCTGCCGCTGCCTATCCTGCTTAGCAGCCGACTCGTCCCGGGGCCCGTAGTCCGGCCCTCCAACAGTCTGAGGGACAGTGAACTGGTCCCCTGTTTAAAAAGTTTGAGGACCCCTGAAAAAATATCCAGCATCTTGGTAAACTGGCTAAATAATACAACTCTATCACCCTTCTGTTTCAATTCGGATAAGATGCATCCTAAAGCTCGAAATTTTCCAGAATCTAAAATCAAATCCATGTCTAACTGGAAGTCATTAATGTGTCGATACTGTTTACAAAGTATATGTAGTTCAAAGTCTGTCATAACTTCCATATCTTCAAAGACCAGGTCAGGGTTAGCAGGGTTAGCAGACCAGGTCAATGTGTAGGTTCCTTCAGCATAAGCTGAGCCAGTTCCTTGAGTTTTCCAGCTGTGTAATACTGGCGATGTAATAAAGGATTGGCCATTTTTCTCAGCTGTATCATGACCTTACACATCTCTGTGTTTTTTTCCATGCTGTTGGTGGATTTCTTCAATCTGTTGAAAAGACCCAAATAAAGCTGCTCCTGCTTCTCTGACATTGCACACAACTCGATTTGATACGGCTTGAGGGGGCAGCTGTTTGAGAACCTCTTCTTTCACTCTTCTGAGAATAAATGGCCTTATAATTTGTTTTGCATATGCTATTCTCTCCTTTTCATATGTTTTGCTCATCTGCTGATTTCGTTTTATAAGAAAACATTCTTTGTATTTCACTGGTGCTACTACTGAACATGTGTGGCATAACAAAACTCAACAGTGACATGAGTTCTAACAGATTATTCTGTACTGGTGTGTCTGTGAGCAGTGAACGGTTATTTGCATTAATTGTCATAAGGTGCTGGTATTGGATGGAGCCCTTGTTCTTCAGCATATGGCTCTCATCAAAAATTGCATAACTAAGTTTCAGCCGTCAAAACAGACTAGGGTCATCCGAACTGCTAATTGCACAGTTATACTTGGTCACAATTACATTGTAATTGTCGTAGTTACTATGAATGTTGGATTGAATTTGTTTACATTCTTCTTGAGAACCATAGTAACAGAGCACCTTTAAAGTGGGGCACCATAAATTAACTTCCCTTAACCAGTTATCTATCTATGGTGGAGGCTGGAACAATGATCAAATGAGGACCATTATTACCTTGCTGATAAAGGTATGTCAGAAAGCAATGGCTTGAATAGTTTTTCCAAGGCCCAGCTCCTCTGCCAAAATGCCATTAAGTCCATGTTTATGTACCAGTGCCAGCCAATTCAGGGCTTGAGTGACAAACTTTGGTTTAGAATGGACGGCTGTTCTACGTTCCATCCACTTCCATTTCCAGTGAGCATGGTGCCGTGTTTGTTCAGTGTATTTGAAATGTCTTCACATTTGTTGATAAGCCTGAGAACGACATCCCCTGCTTGGATCAGTGTTTTACAGTTCCATATCAAATCTTCTGATAAATCCTTAGTTTTGGACATCTCTGTGAACAGTGCTTATGCTTTCCCTTCCCCTAATGCTTCAATTCTAGGCTTCCAGAAATTGTTCTATCTTTCTAATTAAAAATGCTGCAGCCTACTCCATAAAATGGCCACGTTGTTTAACCAAGAAAAACATGTTAGAGGTTGAGCTGTTACTTTTAGAAGAAAAAAAGAAAACAAACAATTGCTTCTTTTGTGGTGAAGCATAAAACACTTAGGCCGGCATGTTGAATCATGGAGCTCCCCTGGACGTTGCTATTGCTCTTCCAGTAGTTGTAGTAAAATTTCTGCCACATTCTTGCTTTCTGCATGGAGTCTCAGCAGTAACAGATCAGAACAGGCTAGCAAACAACTCCTTCCTAAATCAACTCTCTTGATTTTCATGACATCACACATTTGAGTTCCCTCCTCTATCTCTGACTGATGCTTTTTAGTTTTCTCTATCAGTACATTCTTTACCCCACCATTAAATTATTAAGCCTCTGGCCAGGTGCAGTGGCTCAAAATCCTAGCTCTCCAGGAGGCCAAGATGGGAGAATCACTTGAGCTCAAGAGTTGGAGGTGAGGGCAGCACCTGTGGCCCCATATACCGGAGGTGGAGGGTTCAAACCTGGCCCTGGCCAAAAAAAAAAAGAGTTGGAGTTGAGACCAGCCAAGGCCAAGAGTGAGACCCTGTCTCTGCTAAAAACAGGAAAAATTAGCTGGGTGTTGTGGTGGGCACCTGTAGTCCCAGCTCCTTGGGAGGATGAGGCAGATGGAAACTGAAGCATCATCCTTGCTTCCACCTATATCTAATTACCATGAGGACTTCTTTTCTTTTGAGACAGAGTCTCACTTTGTCACCCTGGGTCAAGTGCTGTGGTGTCATAGTTCACAACAACCTCAAACTCTTGGGCTTAAGTGATTCTCATGCCTCAGCCTCCCAAGTAGCTGGGAGTACTGGTGCCCGCCACAAAGCCGGGCTATTTTTTGTTGTTGTTGTCATTGTTATTTAGCAGGCCCTGGCCAGGTTCAAACCAGCCAGCCCTCGTGCATGTGGTCGGTGCCCTAACCACTGAGCAAGGGCACCGAGCCCATAAAGACTTCTTGACTGTACACCTCTGAACTGTCTTTCAAATATGTCTGCCTTTCTCCATCTTGATTTCAACTACTTTGTTAGTCCAAGGTACCACTATTTCTTGACTGAACTATTACATTTTTAGTCTATCAGACTGTTTTCAGCCTGGTCATCAACTCCCTCCTCTGCTTTGTATTCAGAGAATCTTTGAAAAGAGAAAGCTATCATTCCCCTGCTATTTAAATTTTAATATACATTTTTGTCTATTTTTTATTTAAAGCCCATCAAATACAATATCCTTGGCAAATCTGAAAATCCCTC